TATCAATGGGAGTTATAGTTCACCCAGGTTGAGAAACACTGAGAAAGAGTCTCAACCTAATTTGTGGCAACCACAAAAAAATTCCGGAGTAGAACTACTTCTTTCAAAGTAAGGACCGCACAATTGAACAGGAAATAGAACACAAACACACACACATATATGTTCTCACCTTGACGCAGTAGCCTTTGGCAACTAGGAAGTTGGCGCTGTTGATGCAGCGGTGCAGCTGTCCCTTGTCACCCACTTGATGCAACCTGCAGAAAAAGAAGAGACAGGACCAGCCTGCAATGGCTCAGTATGGAAACACATCTATGCAGATACCCTCACTGATTGACTTTGCAACTTAATGGCTACACAATAATCTGTTCAAGCTTCCTAATTGCAATATTCACACTTGCTTTGAACAGACAAGAGTTCTTTCCCTCACCCTGGACATTATTCCAGAGAGGATGCCTCCAAGCAATAATGGCCAGGCTACCTCTATGAAAAAAAAACCCTCACTTATTGATTTTGCAGCTTCATGGCTACTCAATGCTATTCAAGCTTGCTAATTGCAACATTCACACTTGCTTTAGACAGACAAGAGTTCTTTTCCCCACTCTGGATTATATTCCACAGAGGATGCCTCCAGGCAACAACAGCCATGTTACCTTTATTTAAAAAAAAATCCTCACTTATTGGCTTTGCAGCTTCATGGCTACTCATTGCTATTCAAGCTTGCTAATTGCAACAGTCACACTTGCTTTAGACAGGTAAGAGTTCTTTCCTCCACCCTGGACATTAATCCACAGAGGATGCCTCCAAGCAACAATAGCCAGGCTACCTCTGTGCAAAAACCTCACTGATTGACTTTGAAGCTTTAATGGCTACACAATGACAAGGCTTCTTTCTCCCTTCTGGACGTTATTCCTGATGTATATATACACTCCATTTGCTTCACTACCGCTATGCAGATACTCTCACTGATTAACTTTGCAAACCTCATGGCTACTCAATGCTATTAAAGCTTGATAATTGGTGCATTCACACTTACTTTAGACAGACAAGAGTTCTTTCTCCCACCCTGGACATTATTCCACAGAGGATGCCTCCAGGCAACAACAGCCAGGTCACCTCTATGCAAATACCCCTACGGATTGACTTTGCAGCTTCATGCTACACAATGCTATTCAAACTTGCTAATTGGTGCATTCACACTTGCTTTAGAGGGACAAGAGTTCTTTCCCCCACTCTGGACTATAGTCCACTGAGGATGCCTCCAGGCAACAACAGCCATGTTACCTTTATTTTAAAAAAATCCTCACTTATTGACTTTGCAGCTTCATGGCTACTCAATGCTATTCAAGCTTGCTAATTGCAACATTCACACTTGCTTTGAACAGACAAGAGGTCTTTCCCCCACCCTGGACATTATTCCACAGAGGATGCCTCCAAGCAACAATAGCCAGGCTACCTCCTGTGCAAATACCCCCACGGATTGACTTTGAAGCTTCATGGCTACTCAATGCTATTCAAGCTTGCGAATTGGAACATTCACACTTGCTTTAGACCAGTGGTTTCCAACCTGCAGGTCCCCAGATGTTTTGGCCTTCAACTCCCAGAAATCCTAACAGCTGGTAAACCATGAAAACGAACAAAATCTGGTTATCAGTATTTTAAAAAAACTTAACTGTAAATAAAGAACAACACTCAAAAACAGGGGAATTCCAGGCAAGAAACAATCAGGCCCAGAGAGCACCTCCCAACAAAAGATTCCCCCAGGCAGTAGGAAGTCAGACCTTGAAACTGCTAGGCCATTAAATGCTAATCAAGGTGGCTAATAGCAACATTCTCACTTGCTTCCAACAGACAAGGGTTCTTTCTCCCACCCTGGACATCATTCCACACGAGATCCTATAAAGATGCCATTAGCCACAGATGCATGTGGAACATCAGGAGAGAATGCTGCTGGAACATGGCCATACAGCCTGGAAAACTCCCCGCAACCCAGTGATTCTGACCACGAAAACCTTCGACATTTCCCATATTGTTCACATTGCTTCTTCATATTGTTCACATTGCTGTACCTGTACAATCCAGCCGCAGCGTCCGAAGCCATCTCTGTGCGGACGTCCCAGGATAAGCCCGGCTCCTTCTTCAAGACTTCCCTTAAAGAGCCCTTTTCGCAATATTCCATGACTATGGAGTATTCGGGGATTAGACCTCAATAGAGCAAGGAAAAACCAATGTTAGGGATGACTATTAATAGCACAACTTATGTTCCTGGGTTATAAATGGAGCTGTCTTCATAGACCTGTCAGTGCTTATGAGACTGTGAACCACCGCCTCCTCCTGAGAAGAATGTATAATCTCACAAAGGACGACCACCTCACCCGCCTCATAGGAAACCTGCTACAAAACAGGAGCTTCTTTGTTGAGTTCCAGGGCCAGAGAAGCAGATGGCGGAAACAGAAGAACGGCCTGCCTCAGGGGAGCGTGCTTGCTTCATCTATGTTCAACATCTACACAAATGACCAGCCACTGCCAGAAGGGACAGAGAGCTTCATCTATGCTGATGATCATGCCATTACTGCTCAAGCAGGGAGCTTTGAGATGGTAGAACAGAAGCTCTCCGAAGCTCTAGGTGCCCTTACTGCCTACTACAGGGAAAACCAGCTGATCCCCAACCCATCTAAAACACAGACATGTGCCTTTCATCTCAAGAACAGACAAGCATCCCGAGCTCTGAGGATCACCTGGGAAGGAATCCCACTGGAGCATTGCAGCGCACCCAAATACCTGGAGTCACTCTGGACCGTGCTCTGACCTACAAGAAGCACTGCCTGAACATCAAGCAAAAAGTGGGTGCTAGAAACAATATCATACGAAAGCTGACTGGCACAACCTGGGGATCACAACCAGACACAGTGAAGACATCTGCCCTTGCGCTATGCTACTCTGCTGCTGAGTATGCATGCCCAGTGTGGAACACATCTCACCACGCTAAAACAGTGGATGTGGCTCTTAATGAGACATGCCGCATTATCACAGGGTGTCTGCGCCCTACACCACTGGAGAAATTACACTGCTTAGCCGGTATTGCACCACCTGACATCCGCCGGGAAGTAGCACCCAATAGTGAAAGGACCAAGGCAGAGACATCTCCAGCTCATCCCTTGTTTGGGTATCAGCCAGCACGTCAATGACTTAAATCAAGACATAGTTTTCTAAGCAAGAGTCCAAAAGCGAGAGTCCAAAAGTGGCAGGCTCAAACCCAGAACCTCAATCAATGGCTGATACCACATGAGAGACTCCCCCCTGGGCACACAGAAGACTGGGCGACTTGGAAGGCGCTGAACAGACTGCGCTCTGGCACCACGAGATGCAGAGCCAACCTTCAGAAATAGGGCTACAAAGTGGAATCCACGACATGCGAGTGTGGAGAAGAGCAAACCACTGACCACCTGCTGCAATGCACCCTGAGCCCTGCCACATGCACAAGGGAGGACCTCCTTGCGGCAACACCAGAAGCACTCCAAGGGGCCAGATACTGGTCAAAGGACATTTAATCAACTACCAAACTTGCAAATTTTGTGTTTTGTCTGTTTGTTTGTTTTGTTCTGTTAGAAATGTAATACAATTGTCTGGTTGCCCCTGGCATGATAAATAAATAAATGGCATTCCCAAATTGGTTCTATCATAAAAACATGGGGAAAGTTTATTAAACTGCTAAAACTTTGTTTTTGGAGGAGGGATGCTCTGCCCTAGCACCTTTTGCTATGGTTTTCCAATGAATCTCTCATCACCGAGGCTCAACCAATTCATCCTAGTTTGTGGCAGCCACAAAAACAAAGTTTCTGGAGTAAAACAAATAAATACTTTCAAAAATGGACTGCACAGTTAAATAGGAATAACACTTGCAAATTTTGTTACATAGTGTAGTTTTAGCATTTGGTGAAGTTGCAATTGTGTGCCTCCCAAGTCATCCTGGGTTGCCTTCAAGTTGCTTTGGGTCTCAATTAAGAGAGACAAATGCAGGGGTGGTAATAATAATAATAATAATAATAATAATAATAATAATAATGGCAGCAACAACAGCAACAACGTGATTATCATCATCATCATCATCAACAACAACAACAACAACAACAACATCATCTCTAAACTATGGTGACCACAAGGTGGCCATAAATAGTAACAACAACAACAACAAAATGATTAGTAATATTAGTTTTAGTATTTCTGATTTACATTAACCCTAAAATGTATTATTATTATTATTATTATTATTATTATTATTATTATTATTATTATTCCTGACTTATGGTGACCCCAAGGTGGCCATAAATAGTAACAACAGCAACAACAAGATTTTAGTATTTCTGACTGACGTTAACCCTAAAATGTATTATTATTATTATTATTATTATTATTATTATTATTATTATTATTATTAGAAACACACCCAGATTAGTACACAGCAAACAAGATCACTATGCTGGTTGTTGTGTTGGATCATACGTTGGACACTTCCCAAGGGTCTATTATTGAGTTACGATGACCCCAAGGTGGCCATAATAACAACAACAATAATAGGATGGTTATTATTAGTATTCATTTTAGTATTTCTGACTTATGGCACCCCTAAGGTGTTGTTGTTCTTACTGTTGTTGTTATTTCTGACTTATGACAAGCCTAAGGTTGTTATTGCCATTCCTGTTGTTGTTGTTGTTAGTATTATTATTTCTGACTTATGGTGACCCTAAGGTGGTTACAATTAATAGTATTAGTATTACCATTAGTATATCTCCCTTATGGTGACCCTAAGGTGGTTAAAATTCTGTTTATGATTTCTGACATATGGTGACTTTTAAGGCGTTGTTGTTGTTACTGTTGTTGCTATATCTGATTAATTGTGACCTTAAGGTGTTGTTGTTGTTGTGGCTGTTTCTGATTGATGGCAACCCTAAGGGCTTGTTGTTCTTACTGTTATTTCTGACTTATGGCGAGCCCAAGGTTGTTATTGCTCTTCCTGTTGTTGTTGTTAGTATTATTATTTCCAACTTATTGTAATCCTAAGGTGGTTATAATTCTGATTATGGTTCCTGACATATGATTACTTTTAAGGTGTTGTCGTTGTTGTTACTGTTGTTGCTATATCTGATCTATAGTGACCTTGAGGTGTTGTTGTTGTTACTGTTGTGGCTGTTTCTGATTGATGGTAACCCTAAGGTGTTGTTATTCTTACTGCTGTTATTTCTGACTTATGGCAAGCCCAAGGTTGTTATTGCTCTTCCTGTTGTTGTTGTTAGTATTATTATTTCCAACTTATGGTAACCCTAAGGTGGTTATAATTCTGGTTATGATTTCTGACATATGATTACTTTTAACTTGTTGTTATTGTTACTGTTGTTGCTCTATATGATTTATAGTGATCTTGAGGTGTTGTTGTTGTTACTGTTGTAGCTTATTCTGATATACGGTAACCCTAAGGTGTTGTTGCTGTTGTTGTTATTGTTGCCATTTCTGATTTATGGTAACCATAAGGTATTGCTACTGTTGTTGTTACTATTATTGTTATGACAACCTTAACATTATTGTTGCTGTTGTTACTGGGAGTTTGGGAGTCCTCTTGGATTCAACGCTTACGCTTGAGGCTCAGGCGTCGGCGGTGTCTGGGAGGGCTTTCGCACAACTGAGACTCGTGCGCCAACTGCGACTGTACCTCGCGAAGGCGGATCTGGCCGGAGTGGTCCATGCCTTGGTCACCTCCAGATTGGATTACTGCAATGCGCTCTACGTGGGGCTGCCCTTGAAGACGGCTCGGAAGCTCCAACTGGTCCAACGATCAGCAGCCAGGATGCTAACTGGGGCCCCTTACAGAGAGAGGTCAACCCTCCTGTTTAAGGAGCTCCACTGGCTGCCATTTATTTTCCGAGCCCAATTCAAGGTGCAGGTGCTTACCTACAAAGCCCTGAACGGTTTGGGACCAGCCTACCTGCGTGACCGCATTTCCATCTACGAACCCACACGTTCTCTTCGGTCATCTGGAGAGGCCCTGCTCGTGATCCCACCGGCGTCGCAAGCGCGCTTGGTGGGGACGCGGGACAGGGCCTTTTCCGTGGTGGCCCCCCGACTCTGGAACACCCTCCCCAAAGACCTTAGACAGGCCCCTACATTGGCTGCCTTCAGAAAGAACTTGAAGACCTGGCTTTTCCGATGCGCCTTCCCAGATTAGGAAATTTCCACTACCAAGTCCCATAAGCACTTTACCAGAACCAATGATTGCTGCACATTGCACATCGCACTTGCCCTGGAAGCCATTTATACACCTCCTGTCACATCAGCACTTTTAATCCTGTACCCATTACTCTGGCCCGGCCCAGTTTTATTGTGTTTAGTGTATTGTTTATTGCTTGTTGTTTATATTGCTTTAATTGTTTGATTGCTTAATTTTATTGTTGTGTTGTGTGGTGAGGCCTCGGCCTGTGTAAGCCGCATCGAATCCTTCGGGAGATGCTAGCGGGGTGACAAATAAAGTTAATAATAATAATAATTATAATAATAATTACTACTACTACTACTTTTATTTCTGACCTATAGCATTGCCTTCTGCTAAGGCTGAATGGGTTTTTCCTAGCCAAACAGGGATTCAAGCTACAGAATGAATGCAGCATGACCCAATTTGAACTTTGGCTAAAGGCGATGCCATCCCAGGAGACATAGTTTTGCAAGATCCTCAGCAAACTATAAAACTCCTAGGATTGCATAAGCATTGATCCGGGGCAATTAAAGTGGGGTCAAAAACTGCACTAAATTTACCTGCCCCGTTGATGCAGATGCCGTACATGCGAAGGATGTAAGGGGATTCCAGCTTCTTCAAGGTCCTGATCTCTTCCTCAAAGATTTTCCTCACTTTCCTGTAGAAGGCAATTAGGAATATATGCATTGTGGGCTTGCATAATCCAAATTAACTTCCATTTCGTTTAAAACCAACATCTTAATCTCTCGTTACTCCCTTCTAGCATTTTTAAATTGTCGATATATAATCACTAGGTTCTTGTGGGTTTTTTCGGGCTATAGAGCCATGTTCTAGAGGCATTTCTCCTGATGTTTCGCCTGCATCTATGGCAAGCATCCTCAGAGGTTGAGAAGGTCTGTTGGAAGTAGGAAAAATGGGTTTATATATCTGTGGAATGGCTGGGGTGGGGCAAGGAGCTCTTCCCTGCTGCAGTTAGGTGTGAATGTTTAGCTGATCACCTTCATTAGCATTTGAAGCCCTGCCTGAGTCTGGGAAAATCTGTTGCTGGGAGGTGTTAATCTGTGCCTGGTTTTTTCCTCTCTGTTGTTTAGCTGTTATAATTTTAGAGTTTTTTAATACTGGTAGCCAGATTTTGTTCATTTTCATGGTCTCTTCCTTTCTGTTGAAATTGTCCACATGCTTGTGGATTTCAATGGCTTCTCTGTGTAGTCTGACATGGTGGTTGTTGGTGTGGTCCAGCATTTCTGTGTTCTCAAATAATATGATGTGTCCAGGCTGGTTCATCAGGTGCTCTGCTATGGCTGACTTCTCTGGTTGAAGTAGTCTGCAGTGCCTTTCATGTTCCTTGATGCGTGTCTGGGCGCTGCGTTTGGTGGTCCCTATGTAGACTTGTCCACAGCTGCATGGTATACGGTAGACTCCTGCAGAGGTGAGAGGATCCCTCTTGTCCTTTGCTGAACGTAGCATTTGTTGGATTTTCTTGGTGGGTTTGTAGATTGTTTGTATGTTGTGTTTCCTCATCAGCTTCCCTATGCGATCAGTGGTTCCCTTGATGTATGGCAGGAACACTTTTCCTCTGGGTGGATCTTCATCTTTACTCTCGTGGCTTATTCTTGGTCTTGCAGCTCTTCTGATGTCTGAGGTGGAGTCTCCATTGGCCTGGAGAGCCCAGTTGAGGTGGTTCAGTTCATCTTGGAGGAGGTGGGGTTCGCAGATTCTTTTTGCACGGTCTGCCAAGGCTTTAATGGCTTCTTTTTTGACTTGGGTGATGGTTGGAGTTTTTATGTAGATATCTATCTGTGTGTGTGGTTTTCTGTAGACGGTGGTTGATCTGGTTTGCGGATGACTAGGACATCTAGAAAAGGCAGTCTTCCTTCATTTTCTTTTTCCATGGTGAATTGGATGTTTGGGTGGATGCTGTTCAGATGGTCCAGGAACCTGTTGAGTTCTTCTTCTCCATGGCTCCAAATGGTGAAGTGATATATAATCACTTTTGCAGCTCTGCTTTAGGCAGCAATCGTTCTGCGAATTGCTTCCCAGAACAAGTTAATTTCTCTATTATTATTATTATTATTATTATTACTATTATTATTACTATTATTATTATTATTATTATTATTTTGTTCATTTACATCCCACCCATTATTATTATTATTATTATTATTATTACTAGTTTATATGCCATTTTCCTCTATTATTACTATTAATACTGTTATTCTTTTGTTCATTTGTATCTTGCTTTATTATTATTATTATTATTATTATTATTATTATTTTGTTCATTTACATCCCACCCATTATTATTATTATTATTATTATTATTATTATTATTATTACTAGTTTATATGCCATTTTCCTCTATTATTACTATTAATACTGTTATTCTTTTGTTCATTTGTATCTCACATTATTATTATTATTATTATGTTCATTTATATCTCACTTTATTCTTATTCTTATTACTTTGTTCATTTCTATCCTACCTTTTCCTATTATTATTAATAATAATAATAATAATAATAATAATTTATATACAATTTTCTCTCTTATTACTACCATTGTCATTATTTTAATTATTTATACCCCACTTTTTCTATTATTATTATTATTATTATTATTATGTTAATTTATATCCCTCCTTTCGCTATTATTATTACTATTTTTGTTTATTAAATTCCCACTTTCCTCTATTATTAATATGATTACCTTTTTCTGTTATTATTATTATTATTATTATTATTACTATTGTTATTACTATGTTGGCTTTTATCCCACCTTTCCCCCCAAAAGTATTTAAGGCAGTGCAGGGTAAGACACCGTGCAAAAGTAAAAAAATGTAAATATAAGATTTTAAAAACACAGGAAAGCATATATAAACTTATAAATGCTTTCCTGTGTTTTTAAAATCTTACATTTACATTTTGCATGGTTTCTTACCATATATATATATATACGCACACATACATACATACACACACACACACATACATTTACACACACACATATATAAATACACACAGAGAGAGAGACACACACACATATATGTATATGTGTAGGGCCCCCTGGTGGCACAGCGGGTTAAACCGCTGAGCTGTTGAACTTGCTGACCAAAAGGTCACAGGTTCGAATCCGGGGAGCCGGGTGAGCTCCTGCAGTTAGCCCCAGCTTCTACCAATCCAGCAGTTCGAAAACATGCAAATATGAGTAGATCAATAGGTTCTGCTTTGGCAGGAAGGTAAGGGTGTCCCATTCAGTCATGCTGGAACACACACATATACACACACATATATACATGTAAACATACATAAATACACACAGAGAGGGACACACACATATATATGTATATGTGTCGGGCCCCCTGGTGGCACAGTGGGTTAAACCGCTGAACTGTTGAAGGTAACTTGGCAGGAAGGTAACAGCGCTCCATGCAGTCATGCCGTCCACATGACCTTGGAGGTGTCTATGGACAACGCCGGCTCTTTGGTTTAGAAATGGAGATGAGCACCACCCCATAGAGTCAGATACAATTACATTTAATTTCAAGGGGAAACCTTTACCTTTACCTATACCTATACGTATGCACACACACACACACACACATACATACATACACACATGCAAGGAACAACTCTTACGAATGGCACTGCACAGCATTAAAAGCCGTATCCTCATCAGTGTGTAACAATGGTACCAAACTGCATTAACTCTTTAGTGCGGATGCCCCCCTCCCAACCCGGCACTCACTGTGTGTTGCAGGTCTGGGGGTTCTTGAAGACCTTAATGGCCACCGGAGATTTGTAGTATTCCCCTTTGAACAGATGGTACTTATCGGTTTGCCTGATGAGCTCTCCGCGGGTGAGCCGTTCCTTTTCGATCACCCGAATATCCATGGGAAGGTCAGGTTTTTCTTCTGGAAGCAATAATGAAAGGCGTTGTAGTGTTTTGGACTACAACTCCCACAATCCCTAACAGCCCATGCGTATTATAGGAATATCACACACTGGGAAGCTTAGACGGTGCTTTTCCTGCACAGAATGGGGATGGACTAGATGGCCTTTGGGGGTCCCTCCCAGTTCTAGGAGTCTATGATTCTATGATATGGATTTTCAGCAGTGGCCATCTGTTGGAAGGAATAGAATTGTGGTTTCCTACATATAATCGGATTAGGTTGGATGGCCTTTGGGTTTCCCTTCTAACTCTAAGAGTCTATAATTCCATAATATGGAGCCTTATATAATATCTTCCTGCCAGGTGGGGTGAGCTGGATGGCCTTTGGGGGTCCCTTCCAACCCTAGAAGTCTATGATTATATGATACGGATTTTTAGCAGTGGCCATCTATTGAGAGGGGTCAAATGGGACCTTTGTGCACAGAATGGGGTTGGGCCAGATGGCCTTTGGGGGTCCCTTCCAACTCTAGGAGTCTATCATTTGGATTTTTAACAGTGTTTGAATGGCCATTTATTGGGAGGGATCTAATGGTGCCTTCTTGCATGGAATGGGGATGGACTGGATGGCCTTTGGGGGTCCCTTCTAACTGTAGGAGTCTATGATTTGGATTTTTAACAGTGTTTGGATGGCCATCTGTTGGGAGGGATCGGATGGTGCCCTCCTGCTCAGAATAGGGATGGACTGGATGGCCTTTGGGGGTCCCTACTAACTGTAGGAGTCTATGATTTGGATATTTTAGAGTGGTTGGATGGCCATTTGTTGGGAGGGATCTAATGTTGCCTTCCTGCATAGAATGGGGATGGAATAGATGACCTTTGGGGGTCTCATCCAACTCTAGGAGGCTATGATTTGGATTTTTAGCAATGGTTGGATAGCCATCTGTTGAGAGGGCTTAGATTGTGTCTCACTGCACATAACTGGGATGGACTTGATGGCCTCTGGGGGTCCCTTCCAACTCTAGGAGCCTATGATGCTATGATATGGATTTTGAGCAACGTCTGGATAGCCATCTTTCAGAATAGGGATGGACTGGATGGCATTTGGGGGTCCCTTCCAAGTCTAGGAGTCTATGATTTGGATTTTTAGCAGTGGTTAGATGGCCATTTGTTGGGACAGATCTAATGGTGCCTTCCTGCATAGAATGGGGATGGACTGGATGGCCTTTGGGAGTCTCATCCAACTCTAGGAGTCTATGATTTGGATTGTTAGCAGTGGTTGGATGGCCACTTGTTGGGACGGATCTAATGGTGCCTTCCTGCATGGAATGGGGATGGACTGAATGGCCTTTGAGGGTCTGTTCCAACTCTAGGAGTCTATTATTTGGATTTTTAGCAGTGGTTGGATGGCCATTTGTTGGGACGGATCTAATGGTACCTTCCTGCATAGAATGGGGATGGACTGGATGACCTTTGGGGGTCCCTTCCAACTCTAGGAGTCTATGATTTGGATTTTTAGCAGTGGTTAGATGGCCATTTGTTGGGATAGATCTAATGGTGCCTTCCTGTATAGAATGGGGATGGACTGGATGGCCTCTGGGGGTCCCTTCCAACTCTAGAAGTCTATGATTTGGATTTTAACAGTGTTTGGATGGCCATTTGTTAGGCGGGATCTAATGGTACCTTCCTGCATGGAATGGGGATGGACTGAATGGCCTTTGAGGGTCTGTTCCAACTCTAGTAGTCTATTATTTGGATTTTTAGCAGTGGTTAGATGGCCATTTGTTGGGAGGGAACTAATGGTGCCTTCCTGCATGGAATGGGGATGGACTGGATGACCATTGGGGGTCTCATCCAACTCTAGGAGTGTATTATTTGGATTTTTAGCAGTGGTTGGATGGCCATTTTGTTAGGAGGGGTCTAATGGTACCTTCCTGCATGGAACGAGGATGGACTGAATGGGAGTCTCTTTCAACTCTAGGAGTCTATGATTTGGATTTTTAGGAGTGGTTGGATGGCCATCTGTTGGGAGCGTTTAGATAGCCCCTTAGTGCATATAATAGGATTAGACTGAATGGCCTTTGGGGGTCCCTTCCAACCCTAGGAGTCTATGAGAAGCATGGGCCAACTTGGCCCCCCCCAGGTGTTTTGGACTTCAACTCCCACAATTCCTAACAGCCGGTAGGCTGTTAGGAATTGTGAGAGTTGAAGTCCAAAACATCTGGAGGGCCCAAGTTGGCCCATGCCTGTTATATGATATGGATCTTGAGCAGCGCCTAGATAGCCATCTTCCACAACTGGATGGTCTTTGGAGGCCCAACCAACATACCTGTAAGCATCTCCTTGAGGGCGACCTTGTCTTCGGCGAGGTCCTGGCTGCCTTCCTTGCAGATCCGGCTCTTCTGGAAGGCGTCCTGGACCTTCTTCTCGACCTGCGTCTGCAGCAACAGCCCTTCTCCCAGGTACCCCAGGCGTTGATTGATCTCTGCCAACTTCTCCAAGGTGCCTCCAGCCTTGAGGAACCTCTCCAGCTTCTTCTGGGCGTTGCACTTCTCCAGGAAGGCATGGGCTTCCCGCAGGAGGGGCAGCATCTTCTCCAGCATCCACCGCAGGTCCTCGGAGAGCTGGGCCTCTGTCTGGAGGGATCGGATGGGCCGCTCGAGCACCTCCAGGCGCTCCACCAGGCGCTCCTTCTGCCGCTTGCAGTAGCGCATCTCTTGGGCCTGGCCGTAGATGGCCTTGGACGCAGTTAGGATGGCCTCCACCACCTCCATCTCTTAGGTTCTTCTAAAAATGATGCACACTGATAATTATAATGCAACTGGGAAAAGGCAAGGTGAACTAGAAACACCTAGGTATGGATTGAGCACAGAAGGACCAGGCCAGTATGCATACAAATTATAATCTATATATATAAATCTGTAAGGGGCGTCCAACGGGGACACAGGAACGTGTGGCGGGTACAGCTAGTAATACTAATAACAATGTCCACCACCACCACCACATGAGGTTCACCAGAAGTCAGAAATAAAGATGATAGTAATAATAATAGTTCAACATCATCATCATCGTTGTTGTCCTCATCATCATTATCATCATCACCTTATGGTCACCATGATGATGATGATGATGATGATGATATAACCACAACCACCTTAAGGTCACCATAAGTCAGGGATAATAATAATAATAATATAATAATAATAATAATAATAATAATACCATCTAAATGTCACCATAAGATGATGATATTACTACCACTACCTTAGAGTTACCATTAAGTCCAATAGGAATAATAATAATAATAATAATAATAATAATAATAATAATATAGCTAGAACCACCTTAGGGTCACCACAAGTCAGAAATTATGACGTTGATGACGATGATTATATAACCACAACCATCTTAGGGTGACCATAAGTTAGGAATAATAATAATAATAATAATAATAATAATAATAATAATAATAATAATACCATCTAAATGTCACCATAAGATGATGATATTACTACTAGGCCTGTGCGGTTTCGTTCGTTAATTCGTTAATTCGTTATTAATTCGTTATTTTTGGCATTTCCGAAGCGATATTGAAGCACGTTTTCAAACCCGGAATGGTTTAAAAATAACGAGGCGGCAACCCCATAGATTTTACGAGCTTCCGCCCGTTTCGTTATTGGGGTGCAGGCTGCTGGTGCCTGGGAGACAATCCGGCGCTCCCAAGCAGTGCACCATGGGTCCGTGGCTGTTTGTTTTTGATTGGCCGGCGAGCCCTTTCAAAGCGGCTCCGCGCGGCCCGTAGCTTGCTGCAGAGGGCGAGGGAGTTTGCATTGGGTTGGCTTGGCTGCTAGCAACTGGGATTGGATTCATTCCTTGCTGCTGTGAGTGCTGCTTGCTTCATTTGCTGTCTCCTGCCTGTGTTTGGTCCACATTTGGGCCATTTTTTGGTTAATTTTCCATTTTAAAATATTTTTTAATATTATTTTAATATTATTTTTTAATATTATTTTTAATATTATTTTAATATTATTCTTAAAAAATATTCTAAAAAAGAAAAGACTCTTCTGTTGGTGTGTGCTCTCATTTGCTGCATCCTGCCTGTGTTTGGTCATTTTTTGGTTAATTTTCCATTTTAAAATATTTTTTAATATTATTTTAATATTATTTTTAATATTATTTTAATATTATTCTTAAAAAATATTCTAAAAAAGAAAAGACTCTTCTGTTGGTGTGTGCTCTTATTTGCTGTATCCTGCCTGTGTTTGGTCCACATTTGGGCCATTTTTTGGTTAATTTTCCATTTTAAAATATTTTTTAATATTATTTTAATATTATTCTTAAGAAATACAAAAAACTAGGTTCTTGTGGTTTTTTTCGGGCTATAGGGCCATGTTCTAGAGGCATTTCTCCTGACGTTTCGCCTGCATCTATGGCAAGCATCCTCAGAGGTAGTTAGGTCTTGAGGATGCTTGCCATAGATGCTAGTGAAACGTCAGGAGAAATGCCTCTAGAACATGTCCATTTTAAAATATTTTTTAATATTATTTTAATATTATTCTTAAAAAATACAAAAAAATATTCTAAAAATTCGTTAATATTTACAAAATTTCGTAAATACCAAAACTTTTTTTGGGGGAAAGTTTTGTAATTATTTTAAATATCGAAACAAAAAAACACCCCAATTACAAATCGATTTTTTTTTAATAATAATCTTTATTAAGTTTTCAAATTTACATTTAAAATATAAAGAGTTTAAAGAGTTTAATAAGAATAATAATAATAATAATAATACAGCCAGAAGCATGTTAGGGTCACCATAAGTTAGAAATAATAATAATAATAATAATAATAATAATAATAATAATAATAATAATAATACCGTCTAAAAGTCACCCTAAGATGATGATATTACCACAACTACCTTAGCATTAAGTCAGGAATAATAATAATAATAATAATACCATCTAAATGTCACCATAAGATGATGATATTACTACCACTACCTTAGAGTTACCATTAAGTCCAATAGGAATAATAATAATAATAATAATAATAATAATAATAATAATAATAATACAGCCAGAACCACCTTAGGGTCACCATAAGTCAGAAATAATAATAATAATAATAATACCATCTAAATGTCACCATAAGATGATGATATTACTACCACTACCTTAGAGTTACCATTAAGTCCAATAGGAATAATAATAATAATAATAATAATAATAATAATAATAATAATACAGCCACAACCATCTTAGGGTGACCATAAGTTAGAAATAATAATAATAATAATACCGTCTAAATGTCACCATAAGATGATGATATTACCACCACTACCTTAGAGTTACCATTAAGTCCAATAGGAATAATAATAATAATAATAATAATAATAATAATAATAATAATAATACAGCCAGAAGCACGTTAGGGTCACCATAAGTTAGAAATAATAATAATAATAATAATAATAATAATACCATCTAAATGTCACCATAAGATGATGATATTACCACCACTACCTTAGAGTTACCATTAAGTCCAATAGGAATAATAATAATAATATAGCCAGAACCATCTTAGGGTCACCATAAGTCAGAAAATAATAATAATAATAATAATAATAATAATAATAATAATAATAATACAGTTTAAATGTCACCCTAAGATGATAATATCACCATCACTACCTTAGAGTTACCATTAAGTCAGGAATAATAATAATAATAATAATAATAATAATAATAATAATAATAATAATAATAGCCAGAACCACCTTAGGGTCACCATAAGTCAGAAATAATAATAATAATAATACCGTCTAAATGTCACCCTAAGATGATGGTATCACCACCACTACCTTAGAGTTACCATTAAGTCAGGAATAGGAATAATAATAATAATAATAATAATAATAATAATAATAATAGCCAGAACCACCTTAGGGTCACCATAAATCAGAAATAATAATAATAATAATAATAATAATAATAATAATAATAATAATGATGATGATGATGTCTTAAGGTCATCATAAGTCGGAAATGATGATGATGATGATGATGATATAACGACAACCATTTTAGGGTGACCATAAGTCAGGAATAATAATAATAATAATAATAATAATAATAATAATAATAATGTCTTAAGGTCATCATAAGTCAGAAATGATTGATGATGATGATGATGATGATGATGATGATGATGATGATGATGATGATGATGTTGATGATGATATAACCACCACCACCTTAGGGTGACCATAAGTCAGGAATAATAATAATGATAACAATAATAATAATACCATCTTTAGAGTCACCATAAGTCTGAAATGATGATGATGATGATGATGATGATGATGATATTACCACCACCACCTTAGGGTGACCATAAGTCAGGAATAATAATAATATAGCCAGAACCACCTTAGTGTGACCATAAACAGAATTATTATTATTATTATTATTAATAATAATAATAATAATATAAACAAAACTTTATTTATACCCCACTACCATCTCCCCAAGGGACTCAGTGTGGCTTACATGAGGCCGAGCCCAAAGTACATCAACAGTAAAAGCAATAAGAAAACAATAAATAATAATAATAATAATAATAATAATGTCTTAAGGTCACAATAAGCCAGAAATGATTGATGATGATGATGATATAACCACAACCTTCTTAGGGTGACCATAAGTCAGGAATAATAATAATAATAATAATAATAATAATAATAATAATAATAGATCTCGTTTGCTGTGTCATACTGTGCTTTTGTGTCAATAATAATAATAATAATAATAATAATGTCTTAAGGTCACAATAAGCCAGAAATGATTGATGATGATGATGATATAACCACAACCTTCTTAGGGTGACCATAAGTCAGGAATAATAATAATAATAATAATAATAATAATAATAATAGATCTCGTTTGCTGTGTCATACTGTGCTTTTGTGTCAATAATAATAATAATAATAATAATAATAATAATAATAATATCTTAAGGTCACAATAAGTCAGAAATGATTGATGATGATGATGATGATGATGATGATGATGATGATGACGATGATGTAACCACAACCACCTTAGGGTGACCATAAGTCAGGAATAATAATAATGACAATAATAATAATACCGTCTTAAAGTCACCATAAGTCAGAAATGATGATGATGATGATGATAATAATATTACCACCACCACCTTAGGGTCACCATAAACAGAAATAATAATAATAATAATAATAATAATAATAATAATAATAATACAGCCAGAACCACTTTAGGGTCAACAGAAATAATAAAAATAAAAATAACCACAACCACCTTAGGGTCACCATAAGTTAGGAATAGTAGTAGTAGTAGTAGTAGTAATATAGCCATAACCTCCTTAGAGTCACCATAATCGGAAATAATAATAATAATAATAATAATAATAATAATAATAATAATACAGCCAGAACCACTTTAGGGTCAACAGAAATAATAAAAATAAAAATAACCACAACCACCTTAGGGTCACCATAAGTTAGGAATAGTAGTAGTAGTAGTAGTAGTAATATAGCCATAACCTCCTTAGAGTCACCATAATCGGAAATAATAATAATAATAATAATAATAATAATAATAATAATAATACAGCCAGAACCACTTTAGGGTCAACAGAAATAATAAAAATAAAAATAACCACAACCACCTTAGGGTCACCATAAGTTAGGAATAGTAGTAGTAGTAGTAGTAGTAATATAGCCATAACCTCCTTAGAGTCACCATAATCGGAAATAATAATAATAATAATAATAATAATAATAATAACAATAACAATAACCGCAACCACTTTAGGGTCACCAGAAATCAGAAATAACAACAACAACAACAACAACAGCAACAACAGCAACAACAACATAACCACAAGCACCTTAGGGTCACCATACATCAGAAATAATGATGATGATGATGATGATGGTGGTGGTGGTGGTATTTAAAAATAGATATAGATAGTAACATTGCTGTAACTATATAACCCCAAAGAGCTCACTGGCCTAAATGTTTCAGTTTCAGTTCTGGAGGAGATTTCCTATAATAACAGAGTGCAATCTACACTGTAGAATTAGTGCAGTTTGATACCACTTTAACTGCTTTCTGTGCGATATGGAATTCTGGAAACTGCAATGGATGTGATTAACTTTCTCAACTTATAGCTGCCAGCATTCCATAGCTTAGAGCTAAAGTGGTATCAAACTGTGCTAATTCCAGAGTGCAGCTGCAGCCCTAGTGGGTGCCAAGTTAAAGGGACAGAGCCATATTTTTGCAAGGGCCTGTCTTGCAAGTGTGGCTTTTTTTCTTGGAAACTCCAGCTTACCTTTTCTCTCTCGGAAAGGCCTTTCTGCTCCAAGACTTCCAGGAAATGCCTCGGCTTCCTTTCCTGCAAAGCTCCTGCCCAATAACGGACGGCGCAACTTCAGAAGTCACCATAAACTTTTCTGACAGCAAACCAGGCTTTGCCTTTCTTTTTTCAAAGCACGCCTTCCGTGCAAACAAAGAGTGTGTTGCAACTTTCCTATATTTGGAAATATGCAAGAAAGCCGCCAAAGAACATTGTGTCTCCAGCAGCATCACTCAGGAGCCCCTCAATCTATGCAATATAATAATATATAGCACTAATAACATTGCAATGCCATAATACTAATATATTATATACAATATTAATAATGTTGTAATGTAATATATTATGTTAATAACTTATGATGGCATATTATATTTATTTATTGGGTCAGGAGCAATCAGACATTTGTATTACATTTTTAACAAAACAAACAAACAGACAGACAGACAAAACACAAAGTTGGCAAGCTTGGTATTCTATTAAATGTCCTTTGACCAGTATCTGGCCACCTGAAGTGCCTCTGGTGTTGCCGCAAGAAGATCCTCCATTGTACAAGTGGCAGGGCTCAGGTTCCATTGCAGCAGGTGGTCAGTGGTTTGCTCTTCTCCGCACTCGCATGTCGTGGACTCCACTTTGTGGCCCTATTTCTTGAGGTTGGCTCTGCATCTCGTGGTGCCAGAGCGCAGTCTGTTCAGCACCTTCCAAGTCGCTCAGTCTTCTGTGTACCCAAGAGGGAGTCTCTCCTTTGGTATCAGGTTCTGGGTTTGAGCCTGCCACTTTTGGACTCTCGCTTGCTGAGGTGTTCCAGCGAGTGTCTCTGTAGATCTTAGAAAACTATTTCTTGATTTAAGTCATTGACGTGCTGGCTGATATCCAAACAGGGGATGAGCTGGAGATGTCTCTGCCTTGGTCCTTTCACTATTGGCTGCTACTTCCCGGCGAATGTCAGGTGGTGCAATACCGGCTAAGCAGTGTAATTTCTCCAGTGGTGTAGGGCGCAGACACCCCGTGATAATGCGGCATGTCTCATTAAGAGCCACATCCACTGTTTTAGCGTGGTGAGATGTGTTCCACACTGGGCATGCATACTCAGCAGCAGAGTAGCAAAGCGCAAGGGCAGATGTCTTCACTGTGTCTGGTTGTGATCCCCAGGTTGTGCCAGTCAGCTTTCGTATGATATTGTTTCTAGCACCCACTTTTTGCTTGATGATCAGGCAGTGCTTCTTGTAGGTCAGAGCACGGTCCAGAGTGACTCCCAGGTATTTGGGTGCGCTGCAATGCTCCAGTGGGATTCCTTCCCAGGTAATCCTCAGAGCTCGGGATGCTTGTCTGTTCTTAAGGTGAAAGGCACATGTCTGTGTTTTAGATGGATTAGGGATCAGCTGGTTTTCCCTGTCATAGGCAGTTAGAGCACCTAGAGCTTCGGAGAGCTTCGGTTCAACCATCTCAAAGCTCCCTGCTTGAGCGGTGATGGCACGATCATCAGCATAGATGAAGCTCTCTGTCCCTTCTGGCAGTGGCTGGTCATTTGTGTAGATGTTGAACATGGATGGGGCAAGCACGCTCCCCTGGGGCAGGCCGTTCTTTTGTTTCCGCCATCTGCTTCTCTGGCCCTGGAACTCAACAAAAAAGCTCCTGTTTTGTAGCAGGTTTCCTATGAGGCGAGTGAGACGGTCGTCCTTTGTGATATTATACATTTTTCTCAGGAGGCTTATTATATAATAGTAACAGTATGGTAGTGTATTATATATATTGTGGTATAATAATATAGTGCAATATAATAATAGACAATAATACAATAATTGTACATAATATATTATTAATAATGTTGCAGTATAGTAGTACAGTACAATATAGTAATATATAATACTAATATTGTGTTCTGCTAATAATATAATATAGTGTACTATATATATTATATATTATTATTATACTATATAGGATGGGATACAAATGTCTGAAATAAATAAATAAATATTGATAATATAATACTAATAATAATAGGTAAAGGTAAAGGTTTTTGCCCGGACATTAAATCCAGTCCTGTCCGACTTTGTGAGTTGGTGCTCATCTCCATTTCTAAGCCAAAGAACCGGCGTTGTCCATAGACACCTCCATGGTCATGTGGCCGGCATGACTGCATGGAGCACACTTACCTTCCCACTTACCTTGCATGTTTTCAAACTGCTAGGTTGACAGAAGCTGGGGCTAACAGTGGGAGCTCACCCTGCTCCCTGGATTCAAACCAGTGACCTTTCGGTCAGCAGCTCAGCAGTTTAACCCACTGCACCATCAGGGACTCCTACTAATAATAATACAATATAATATATAATAATGTTGTAATATAGCAATACTAATTTATATAAATAAAAATGTAATGTCAGTTTGTGGGATTAACTTAACTCAAAAACCACTGGACAAATTGACACCAAATTTGGACACAATACACCTCTCAGGCCAATATGTGACCATCACTCATAAAAACACTGGAAAGCATAGCAGAAGAGACTTTAAAAGCCAAAAAATTTACATTCAACGCATGCGCAAAACCACAACTATACACAAATAAATACATTCACAAAACACATATACAAAGACACGTGGCAGGAGATGGCTAGTATATTAAATACAGTATTGCTGATAATATATAATAATATATAATGGTATACTATCTCCTCTTGGCCTTCTCTTCTGCAGGCTAAACATGGTCAGCTCTTTAAGCCGCTCCTCATAGGGTTTGTTCTCCAGATCCTTGATTATTTGAGTCACCCTCTTCCTCTGGACACAGTATTCCAGCTTAAAGTCGACATTTCCCTTCAGTTGTGGTGCCCAGGATTGGACACAGTGGGATTCCAGGTAAAGTGGCCCGACCAAGTCAGAATAGAATAGAGCATGGGGAGCCAAGGCTCGAATCCTCCCCTTTCCAATGTACCAAGTCACACACTCTCAGCTTCGAAGGAAGGCAAGGCTTGTTAGGAGAACTCTGGGATAGGGTTGTGATAAGTCAGAAATGTCTCAAAGTCACACACAACAAAAATCTGAATGTTGTGTGTCATTATCATCAGCAGCCAGGAGAGGGAGCCATTGCTCTATGGATTCTTATAAGGAAGGAGGTGCAATACTGAGAGTGACCTAAAGGTGGCAGTAGGACTTCATGGCACTCAGATCAGACTCCGACAAGATGGTAACACATCCAGGCAATGGGCAACGTCCTTGCAAACAGCCAATTCTCTCACACCAGAGGTTCGAATCCATGAGACGGGGTGAGCTTCCGTCTGTCAGCTCCAGCTTCCCATGCAGAGACACGAGAGAAGCATCCGACAAGATGGTAACACATCCAGGCAATGGGCAACGTCCTTGCAAACAGCCAATTCTCTCACACCAGAGGTTCGAATCCATGAGACGGGGTGAGCTTCCGTCTGTCAGCTCCAGCTTCCCATGCAGAGACACGAGAGAAGCATCCGACAAGATGGTAACACATCCAGGCAATGGGCAACGTCCTTGCAAACAGCCAATTCTCTCACACCAGAGGTTCGAATCCATGAGACGGGGTGAGCTTCCGTCTGTCAGCTCCAGCTTCCCATGCAGAGAACGAGAGAAGCATCCGACAAGATGGTAACACATCCAGGCAATGGGCAACGTCCTTGCAAACAGCCAATTCTCTCACACCAGAGGTTCGAATCCATGAGACGGGGTGAGCTTCCGTCTGTCAGCTCCAGCTTCCCATGCAGAGACACGAGAGAAGCATCCGACAAGATGGTAACACATCCAGGCAATGGGCAACGTCCTTGCAAACAGCCAATTCTCTCACACCAGAGGTTCGAATCCATGAGACGGGGTGAGCTTCCGTCTGTCAGCTCCAGCTTCCCATGCAGAGACACGAGAGAAGCATCCGACAAGATGGTAACACATCCAGGCAATGGGCAACGTCCTTGCAAACAGCCAATTCTCTCACACCAGAGGTTCGAATCCATGAGACGGGGTGAGCTTCCGTCTGTCAGCTCCAGCTTCCCATGCAGAGACACGAGAGAAGCATCCGACAAGATGGTAACACATCCAGGCAATGGGCAACGTCCTTGCAAACAGCCAATTCTCTCACACCAGAGGTTCGAATCCATGAGACGGGATGAGCTTCCGTCTGCCAGCTCCAGCTTCCCATGCAGAGACACGAGAGAAGCATCCGACAAGATGGTAACACATCCAGGCAATGGGCAACGTCCTTGCAAACAGCCAATTCTCTCACACCAGAGGTTCGAATCCATGAGACGGGATGAGCTTCCGTCTGCCAGCTCCAGCTTCCCATGCAGAGACACGAGAGAAGCATCCGACAAGATGGTAACACATCCAGGCAATGGGCAACGTCCTTGCAAACAGCCAATTCTCTCACACCAGAGGTTCGAATCCATGAGACGGGGTGAGCTTCCGTCTGCCAGCTCCAGCTTCCCATGCAGAGACACGAGAGAAGCATCCTACAAGATGGTAACACATCCGGGCAACGTCCCCTTGGCAATGTCCTTGCAGACAGCCAATTCTCTCACACCAGAAGCGACTTGCAGTTTCTCAACTTGCTTCTGGTATTATTAAAAGAAATTCATCGGGATGCCATACAACACATCAAAGCTGTATTGATAGCAGCAAACTTCCAGTTAGATGCTCGATCTCACTTGGTGTTTTAGTCCACAACTTTTAAGATTATCTTTCCATCTGTTTTGCTGTTTGCTGACATTCCGCTATTTTATATTAATTATTATATTATATTATATATATTATATTATTAATTATATTATATTATATTGTTTTTTGTGGAGGGAATCTTTATTTTATATTAACTGTATTATTATATTATTATATTATATAATATTATTATATTATATTATATAATAATATTATATTATATTATATTAATTATATTATATTATATTGTTTTCTGTGGAGGGAATTTTTATTTTATATAAAAATGTAAATATAAGATTTTAAAAACACCTATAGATCGACTCACATTTGCATGTTTTTGAACTGCTAGGTTGGCAGGAGCTGGGGCTAACAGCAGGAGCTCATTCTGTTCCCCGGATTATTTATTTATTTTCAGTATTTATATTCCGCCTTTTTGACCCCACAGGGGACTCAGG